TATATATATGTGTGTGTGTGTGTGTGTCACAGACAGACAGATATAATTTTTTTTTTTTTTTTTTAGTAAACATGTTGTAGTTAGAGGTCTGTACCTGTGCCAGTGTTCGCTGTGAGACTTTTAAACGACTTCCGGTTCCGGAGGGTCAGATGTGGTCCTCGCGTTAGATTCGAGCTGGCCTTCGTTGAGCCTCAGTCGGGCCAGAACTAACGCTACGCGGTAGGAGATGGCGGAAACCTCAGCGGGTGGACGGAAAGGATCGGCGGCGAGGCACAACTGCTCCGCGATCGCTGCCAGGATTTGCGCTTGCTCTCTCTCTTCATCTTTGCCATGTTACATTCATTTAGTTGACTAGTGCTATAGCGGTGGAGTGAAGTTAGAAATAGTCGAGGAGAAAAACGGAAGAAAAGGAGTGATGTTGATGAATCTGACGAAAAGAGTGGGGATAGCATTAAGTGCATTGTGAGATTTGGGGAGCAGTTAGGGGTAAGCAAAATTAATCCGTTAAAACTGAAAAAGATCATAAATAGGAAAATAGGAAATGTTAGGTTTGCTAAAGTACTCTCTGATGGAAATTTGCTAGTTGGATGTAATAATGAAGAACAGGCAGGTCAGATGTGACAGAATCCGTGTGAAAATGGAAGGGGATGCTGCTTCTCCAAACTTCTTGGGGGAAAGTAAAGCTGGATATGTCCTAAGTAATGTTGCCGAGGTCGTGGAGAGGATTTTGACATTTGTCCCGACTAAAAATCTAATCCGGATAGTAAGGTAATGATGCTAACTGAGTGTGGATGTTTTAGCCTGTTAGCTTTGAGCTAATCAGAAGACCATCACAGCTTAAGCGGTATTATATAAACTCATTTTATAAATGAACAGCATTTGTATGTACACGTTTACGCTGTTGAGTGATTAGGTTGGTACGATCTTACTGGTTTCGCTTTTTCTTTCTCAAGACTAGATCACTAAAATACACCGGTTATTGCTGCCAGAAAATACTTTCAAAGATCTTAATTAACGATAGTTGATGATATTCATCTGGTGGTCAGTTGTCACTCAGATTCGTAAACAGAATGCAAATAAATTAGTCTGGATGGTTTAACTTTTGATTTTAGGTGATGGTTCATTGCCATAGTAACTTACACTCCACGGCTAACCTGCTCCGGGGCAGGTTATGTTCCGAGTTAGAGATCTCGAACTGAAATTGGATCAGATGTGAGCAAAGTGACACATGTCTGACACAAAAAAGTCACTCCCCCAGTTTATCTTGCTCCAAATTAAAGGTCACTAGTACTAAAAAAAATTCTGGCTTTAATTACTTGACTTTTTTCTGTTATTTTATATGACTTATATAATTATACGATTTATATTATTATTAATCCATTACACACAAGCAATTTTAGTTTAACAGTTATTATAAATCATTTCTTTTAAAT